GGCCTGTGCGCAACTCCAAGTGGGGTGAGTAGACGGCTGACCGCTTCCGATATGACTATGATACCATTATCTATGATTCAGGATTCACGACGGAATCCGAAACGTCAGGACAATAAAATTCTTGTTCCAGTGGTCGCATCTCCTTCTTCTGACTACATAATTTGTCAGAACGAGCATCTGTACACTCAGAGCTTGAACATACAGTAGACAACGCACTTAGTAATCTGATAGGATTATAATTGAAGTAAGTTATCACTTAAATGGTAAACCCGATCAGCGCAAGTAATAGGGCATGGTTGAGTCAAGTCAAATATTCAAGGCGACCAACAGCTAACGGGTTTTATCTGACACAGTCTGCCCCTATCACAGACGCTAATTCGTGTGTACAAGCACGTCGCGTGTGGTCCCTGGTCCACGCACAATGTACCCGGATTACGCAAAAAAAGGCCAGAGTAAGAAGGAACCATTGCGGTGAGACTGCGTCCTGAGAGGACCCAGTTACCTCATTAGTCGGCAAAGTCCCAAGCCATAGATCTTAGCGCACAAGAAAGTTCAAAAGCGCGTTAATTTTTTTATGAAGAGTATGTGCTAAGTACTGGAGAGGGGGGGGAGTCGCCAGCGTTAACCTTATTCTCTCTTCCCTCTCTCAAGCACCAGTCGGATGTGTTAGCAGGTCAGCTATCTGATGCGACGATGTGGTGAAGAAGGCTGAAGGATCTAGACAATCCGTCTATAGGTGTCACATATAACCTGTCCTTTCACATAACATTACAGCCATTAGTCAGCGCACCTTTAGAGCCTTTCAAATCAAGCCCCCCAGTCTCTTCATCAAAGGTTGATAATATGCAGTAGGTGATGCATAGCAAGAAAAATTAACCAAAATTCAGAAATAGCATTTCTCCTAAAAGGACTACTCGGATTGGTTTTTAATACTGATTAAACGCGCCTTCATCCCCGGGAAGTCAACACCTTCACACTCGCTAAAATGACTACTTAATTAAGATGAACATTCCCCACTGATTTGCGATGTCCGGTTACACATGCCACATGCAAAGGACATGCAAACAACGAATGAGTCTTTTTAGCAAAAGATTCGTGTACGTAAATCTCCAGTCAAATGCCATGATCAAGAGGTCATTACAACACCTCGTTTTGCACAAACTCCTATAAGCTACACAATTGCACCCACGTGTGCGATTCCTAACACTTGTTTCAACCTGATCTTCATCAACTTAAGATTAGATTTTCCGGTTCGGGAAGGAAGGAATCTATTTAAGCATTTTCTTGTTTATATGGGTGTCCTTTCATACCACAACGCACAAAAATGGGAGCTTTCGTTCTGTCCTATTAAAAAGCACAGGCAGAAAGAACTTTATTCACCTGAGGTTTCAAATTCCGTTGTTGATACAGCATCAGAGACAAAAGAATTCATACACAGGCAGTTGCAGTATGCACAGGATAACGTCGCTATGTGACTGCCTACCATTGACAATTAACGGCTGCCCCTACCGAAGAAAGTTGCCCGCTTGAGTGCTAATTGCTTAATGGGCAGCGTGGGAGTCGTGACCTGTTGAACTTTCACGACCCCTGCTGGACTTGGGCGTGATGATGGCTCCGCCATCTTGCGCTAGTAGACGCGTCATGATGCTCGCAACTGCGTGTGAATAACTCTTTTCTGCTCTCTTGTCTCTGATGATAGATTCGCGACGGAATGTGAAACGTCAGGTAGGTAAAGTTCTTGCCTCAGCGATCGTACCTGCTCCTACTCATGCAGTTTTCCTCAGACGAAGAAGGCTTTATGATCGTCATCAAATCCACAGATCAATAGATCAAAATAAGAAGACCTAATACACGCTAAATTACCAACTCCAGCTTTGATCAGGTCTTTGCATGAATTAGGTCAGCAACTGTAAAACAACCATTAACAGCACAAATGGATCAAGGTCATTTCAAGATGATATATTTGGCTACCTAACGCCGATATTGAACTGATCGAGCGTACCATAGGGGTAATTTGAGCTCAAGTCAGCATCAGGAGAGGCCCATTAGGCCAAACGAACCTTTGCAAAATGTCTTCATCTTCGGACATTTCAGTGGGCACCATGTCAGTCTCCGATGGCGGCTCCTCCTGTTCCATTGCTGTTGGTGACCGCAACGGAGCCTCCTGGGGTGACTTCGGCGCATCAACATTCGAAGGCTGGACTGGACCGGGGGCCATCACAGTTCTGCGGCGTTTGATGCGTGGCAGCGCATCATCTTCCGAATCTGTCGAGTCGTTTGATTCGGAGCTGTTGCCTTCAGAAGTATCAATTTCGTCAGGGTCAAAGTACTTGGAGGCCCCGCGACCACCACCACCACCACCACTTCCGTTAGCCTTCCCA